GGAAACAGATTTGACGTGGCTGCTCATGAACCTGGCACATTATTAAATAATATACTACTATTATCACGATTTTACAAAGATCAGAACAGCTTTTGCCCCAGGCACATCAGTTTTGAACTGACTCAATCACTGAAATCAGTGAGTCAGATAAAGTTGGGGTCAACTAAATCCATAAGCACGATATCTGGTTATTGTCAGTATGCCAGCATAATAGCTCCAGACGTCTCAAACTGCTCCCCATGCTGTAACTTTCCCACCTGCTGTCCAGACCCTGCGGGCTTATTGTATCAGTCTCAGTCTGGCCTGTATCCACACACAGCCATGTGCAGAGAGAGTAGGGAAAACCTCGTTCACTGATCTATTTAGCAACTCTTTACAGTGCAGCCATTCTGACCTTAACACCGTAATTTGTCACTCCTCTTCCTTTTCTGGACCTGAATGGCACCAATGTTGCCTGTGAGTTTAGTGCTCCGTTTGCCCTCTATAGCCTACAGGAAGGGGTCCTGTTCTTCTCCCAACAACCAATGGTAGGGTGGGTAAACTTCTGACCTTCCGTACAAGATCAAGGTTCCTGCTGTTAGAAATTAAAATCAATGTTTGATAGCATAATGTAGCTTAAACATACCGTCAGTTTAAATGCTATTTTACTCTGGAAAAAACCGGAAGTTCTCAATACCAAGCTTTTATTCTGAAAATCCTTCATCTCCGGTTAGCATTTAGCATGTGGCTAATATACCATTTCCTATAGATGTGAATTTAGCAGCGAAATGACATGGAGTGATGCACACCGAAACCTACTGATTTAACACTACAACTAATTGAACCAAGAGATTATTATTGCTGAATATTAAATGAAGGTACAGTTTATTTGAATACGTTATTGTTTACAGACGTGGGTAGCATGTGAAAACATCCGGAACTACCGGAAACCAAAATGCTGTGAAGTATTTCCTGTATTTTTTAGAGTGTTGATTTCAGCGTTTGAAATGTATTTAGATGAAAAGTCATGAAAGAGATTAGGAGGGGAAGAGGCGTGTCTAGTTATACAATGAATTTAAAATGTCGAAATGCTCCGTTTAACGCAATATCGGACACAGAAGAACGAGGGGGAAGTCTCCTACGTCACCACAGCCCCTAGAGAGGAGGAGCAAACAGCCAGCAAGCGGGAAAGACGAAGGCTTGTGAGGTCTCTTCTCCACGGCCGACCACTGCGAGAGGAAGCTGCAGCCTTTCTCTCCTCACTGAACAATATTCTGCTTGTAACATACCCGCGCCTTTTTTTATTTAAAGTACCATTTGAACCTTCTCAGAGACTCCATTTAGTCTCATTTTAAAGCTTCTCTCCTGGACGCGAGAATAACGAACACAGCATAACACTGCTCACTGTTCTATATCAGTTTCCCACTTGGAGACGATTCTGACAAAGCCAGAACTGTGTTTCAATGGACCACCTCTGTACAGCTCCCCATTGGCTCCTGTACAAGGTGCAGAGCAGGCTTACCACAAGTGTGGGCTGCTCAGCTTGCAAGGTCACTGACATCAGTCACATACCTCACTTTATCGGCCAGAGACCAATAGGGCCAGTTTTCCACCAGTGTAGGAAGGAATTCTATTCATTACACTTCAGATGTTGAGACCAACTCACAAGGCAAGTCTGCAACACTTTCTCCTCTAGTATACTGATCTCATCACCTTAAATGCATCAAGGTTAGAAAACAAAAACACACGTTGTCAAATGAAAGATAATGCGGATAATAGAGATTATAATTTGCCCAAGACATTTCATATTAATGCCAATCTATAATATTCCTGGCTGAATTCCAATATTCAAACTTCAACCCTTCATTTCACATACAAATATGGATGTGACTTACGGTATGTACGGTACGTCCACACGGCAGCGTGCGTTGAAGCTTGCCGGTGGGCGTGTCTGGCGCTCGACCAACAACCAATCACATTAATCTCCCGCCCCGTACACACAAACACACGGTTTGATTGGCTAGCGCTTGTACTGGCATATGATTTGATTGGCTGACGCTTCCGTCGAAGCTTGAAAAGTTGAACTTTTCTCAACTTTTGAAGCGAGCAACGGAGGCAAAGCGACGCGACGGAACCACAATGCAGTTTGGCAAAGCCTGACGTCACCCCATTCAAAATGAATAGGAAGCGTCTCCGTTGAAGCAACGCACGCTGCCGCATGGCTAAATGAAAACCAACGATAAAAAGTTGTGTTTGTTCAGGTTATGAACAGCCTTAGCTCTGGCGATACAACATGATAGTGTGCTAAGTTAAGCGCAGCTTGTAGGTAAGTCTACATTTTAAAATGTAACATTTTATCAATGGACAGACGATTCTTATAGCCGTGTATAGAGGGGGGGGGTCATAGTTACCGCATATCACAATACCATATTTCTAATAAAATAAACATCTATGGCCATGTGTGGAAACACTTCTTGGTCTCTACCACACACAGTGACACAATACACATAGAGACTTGTATAGAACCATACACAATACTGTCTCTATTTCAGGAGATCATAAAGTGGCAAACAAGAGAAGACAGTGTGACAAGCTAAAAGCCATGTAGCCAAAGGTGGGATGAAGAGCAGAGAAGAGGGGGGGGGAGAAGCTGAGAGAGAAAGATCTCTTTTCTTCAGGGTTTCTCTTTTATGGTAAACCTGACCTGAACCCAACACATTTAGACTGTATGGGTGTCAATGTCTTTACAAAGTTTAATGTTAACATTTTGTATTAAACAAAGATATAATAGTTGTTTATTATTTACTGTACTTATTATTGTTTTTAATATAAAATATCATCCAAGCAGATCTTAAGGGTTCAAACATTGCCAAGATATTTTTGAAGAAGTCAGTGAAAATATATTTTAGCTTAAAAATACTGTGTATTTCTCATGTACAAGGGAAAGTGCACTGACAAAGAGTGCATGATTAATGATGTTAGCAAGGAGTGCCCTGTTGGAACCATCCGGCCTTACTGTAAATGTTGGGTTGTCCTTCCTTTAGCAGCGGATCCAGGAGTTTAGCCAAATGAGGGTTCAGGAAAAGTAGCACCGGATCAGCTGTTAAGTATCACAGTTTAGCTTTACCAGTTGAACATAACCGTAGTGATCTCTTTTTTTCTGGAAATGTGTTCTGTTTATTTAAAGAGAGGAGTAAGTCTTAACACAAATATCTAAGGCCTTTCTGCTCAGGCAAATATTATTAACAGTGAGAGGGAAAAAAAAAACCTTCTTTGGCAAGGAGAGGATTTCACTGGAATGAGAGTTTTGTTTGGATTGAGAGAAAGGCAAAGCCGGTATGACGCACAGAATAGCAGCTCTTAGATCTGAATCCAACCAAACAGTGCGTTTGTTTTAACAAATCACTGCTGAAAGGTAAATCAGGTAGATCTCGAAAGAAACACTTGAAATCTTAACATCATACGCTGGAATCAATTAAACTGAGTTAGAGCAGAGAGTCTGTGGTCACTGTTACAGTATAAGACCAACCTTTTAACATTTTCCATTTTTACTGTAGGTGCTACACTCCAGCAGCAGGCCAGACTAAACATAGAGCTGCATACTTTCAATTTGGAGGGAAAAAAATCTCATATCCAATATATGCCTGTGTGTTTACGTTGTGGTGACACATTATTGGTATATAATTCACCGTGTGATTCGTGTGTGTTGCAACCCGGACCCGTTAGTGAGGGTACCGGGGTTGGACGTCATTCATGCTAGCTGGTTACACAGAGCAGCACATGTACTCACGTCTTCTTGATTAATGAATAATAAAGGGTGGAAGTCCATTCTGAATACACCGCCTCTGACATCGGCTCTACACTGGTGACTCTGACGTTTTTCGTGAAAGTTTCCGAAGACTCAATGAACATGGCTGATCGCGATGTTTTTGTAAAGCTGCCGGAGTTTTGGGAACATGCCGCTGCGGCGTGGTTCGCACACGTGGAGGCACACTTTGCCTGCCGACAAGTCCGTGACGGGGATTTGAAATATTTCCACGTGGTAGCAGCGATGGGAAGCTCCACGTCATCCAGGTTGGTGGGATGTATCGCGGACCCCCCGCACCATGGCAAATTTGAGGCGATTAAGGCCCTTCTCCTTAAGACATTTAGCTTATCTGCTAAGGAGAGGGCCCGCCAGATGCTTGACATTCAAGGCCTAGGAGACAGCAAGCCATCTCAGATAATGGAGAAAATGCTAAATCTGCTAGGGGAGGAAGATCCCCGGATTTTTTTCATGGAGACGTTCCTGCGCAACTTGCCTTCCCGGGTTCAGACGGCGCTAGCCAACACGTCCATTACGGAGCCCCGTGCCTTGGCTGAAGAGACCGACCGTTTTTTCCTGGCTACCCAGCAGTCCGGTGCAGAGGCGCTAGCTGTGACGCTCGGCGCCCCCTCTACAGTTAAGAAGGCTTGGGGGAGGCTGGACGTGACGGTGCCAAGCCGGCGTGGGGACACAGGAGAGTGTTTTTACCACGTGCGGTTCGGGGCCGGGGCGAATAAGTGTGTCGCTCCCTGCAGTTACAAGCCTCCGGGAAACGGAGGAGCCGGCGCTCAGTAGTGGCCCTGAGCGTTGGCGGCACGAGCAGGCTTCTCTTCGCCAGCGACAGAATCTCAGGAAGCTTGTTTCGGTGTAACACAGGAGCTCAACAGAGTGTTGTTCCTGCGTTGAGGGAAGACGTCGCTCGTGGGGGACATGGACCGCGACGATGGGGGCCCCATTCGCACGTACGGCGTGAAGCCTATGTGTTTGTGTATTGGAGGACAGCGGTTCAACTTGGATTTTGTGACGGCAGACATTTATTTTCCCCTCCTCGGGGCAGACTTTTTATGTGCTCACGGGCTCCTGGTGGACGCTTGGTTGATGCCTTGACGTTTTCCTCCCTCGTGTGTACACTTGGCAAGGCGGCGTACGACGGGCTGTCGGGGGCGGACATTTTTCTCAGGTTGTTGGCTGAATTTCCAGACCTGACGCTACCCACCTTCTCCGCGCTCACCACCAAGCATGGGGTGGAGCACCACGTCACCACCGAGGGTCCCCCAGTCTACGCCAGGGCCCGGCGGTTGAACCCTTCTATGCTTGCAGTAGCGAGGGCGGAGTTTTCAACCATGGAACGCCTGGGTATCGTCCGCCGTTCTGACAGTCCTTGGGCCTCTCCTCTACACGTCGTTCCCACGGCGTACACCGCCTCTGACTCCCGTTCATCAGCTCTACAACGTAAACATTTTCTTTTACTTATTTCTAACAAATTCTGGACTTTTGTCATCACCGACTGCAAGTAGACACTACTTCTTGAAAAAAACAAATGGCATTCTCAGGGCAAGCTTGTATTATTCTTTTTTTTGTAAATGTTCAAATCATTTAATGGAATGGGACTGTCATTGGTCTTTTAAAAAGATAGAAGATAAGAACCTCTTCTTATTCAATTCAAAAACTGATCTTTTCTTAGTAATCATGCTCTTAAAATACATCGGGGAACCATCCACAAAGTCTGTACAGATTGTACAAACGTCAGGTACTAATAGTCTGTGAGAAGACATTTGAGTTAAGGACGTTACACAAATCAACTTTATGAGTAAACTGGGGCAGTGTGAAACTGTTCAAGAATGCCCTCCCAGACAAATCCCGTACGAATACATCTTTTCCAACTACAAAACAAGCCCGGTGGCACAAAGCAATACACACAGCGAGTGTGCTGTTTACATTGCAGTCCCTTGCTGGGTTCAATCATTGAGTGACAGTTTTTAAATACAGTGAGACACCAGCTCACTGTATAGGTTAAGACACTGGTGGTTTTGATGTTTTGTGATCATAATGAGAGAACGGCTTCCTCAAACAAAGCTAGGCTTAATTAACGCAAAAAGTTAGTTGGGCCAGGAATAGGTTTTGTTGCCTGGCATGGTGCCTTGTTTGATGTAGGGTGTGGCTGCCACTTAAAGTTTTTATTACCACACTCTTTGTAAGCATCTTTTATGTTTATATTAGGAATATATGCATCATGTTGCGGTTCATTGCTGGGAGAACTGATGTGTTGGTGAACTTAAGCATAACGCATTTAAATGTGTAGCAGCACTGTGAAAAAGCAAACATGTTCTTAGTTGTGCATGACGGGGAGAAGCTACGCCTTTGGTACAATGACAAAGTCGAACCAATCTCAAATGTTTTCCTCTCTTTCGCACAAAATATAAAGTCATAAATGTCAGAGAAAGCAGAAATAGAGCTATCCAGCTTTTGTTCCCGGGACATTCTTGTGTTGTGTCTTTAGCTACAGACTATGGGGGGAAAGAACAAGACTTCTGTGGCTGTAACTCTGCAGAGGCTCCTTAAAGCAGACTGAGCTCAATGGTTTCTAGGAAACACTGCAGAGGGCGGACATCCAATCTCAGAAAAGAATGATAGAAAGCAATGAAACACAGTGGAGAACAAAAGGCTATCAGTGGAGTATACGACCGTCCTCGCCCTCATATCAGACCAGAGATATTTATCTCCTCTCTAAAAACAAATGTAAATCAAATCGTGCATTTGAAACAAAACAAGAGTTGAATTTATTGGTTCAATAAGAGAGAAGAAAAGTGGAGGAAAAGTATGGGCCTGCAAATATTTCATTTCCTTTTATCTTCCTTCTGTGAGAATGACACAATGGGCTGTACACTTGTAATAATTTGTCACACACATGTCATAACGACAACACAAACAGTGTGTGTGTGTGTGTGTGTGTGTGTGTGTGTGTGTGTGTGTGTGTGTGTGTGTGTGTGTGTGTGTGTGTGTGTGTGTGTGTGTGTGACTGAATGTATGTAGCTGCTTTGAACTCACAGTCATATGTTGGCCCTGGCCCAGGAACTCCAGCTGCTGTTGGATCTCTTGGAGCCTCCTCTCCTGCCCTCTCCTCTCCTTTATATCCTGCAGGGCCTTCTCTCCTGGCTGCGGGTCCCCATCACACTTCCAGCCAACCTCTGAGCCACAGCCCTGACACATAACAGACACGAATGGTTCTCAAAGGGAACAAACATCTAATATCACATGTAGACGGGTTTATTGGATTCTCTCCTGGAGCTTCACTTGCAGTTTGTTCTAGGGAACTTTTAAATAGCAATCAAAATCATATGACAGTTCATCACGATCAATTCAAGTGAAAATGTGCCATTTGAAGAAGTCCATATACCATCATTGTTGTGTTTTAACGATGAACAACAATCTTCTTTCCTGTTTTTTTACCGATTTCACAAGCACGTTATAAGACACGAGAAAGCCCAATACCTCGACTACAGCTCCAGTTCACATGGGGTCCAACATAAATCACACATTTTTGGCTTGGGTGCACTAGGTTTAAAAAATGAAGACTGCATTCAAGGCAAACTTTTAAACTGGCTCAGAAGGAAATGGGAGAGTCCTGCTGCAGTGGAGGGCCTTCCACAGACAGCTGATGGTTGAGAGGCCTCGAAGAAGGAATAGCTCTGCAGACTTAGTATGATGAACAGCAGCTGATGGAAAAGGTGCATTATTGTTGCAAATCTAAAAGGATACGTCAAATGTTCACATCCTAATGATGGAAAAACATGGCGAAGAGGACAACACTGTCGAACCTGACCAGTGAGCGACCTGTGGTACAGTCACAATTCTTCCTCTAAAAATATACAGATACTCTATAAAAGCAGCAACTAGATTGAAAAGATGGTTGGGTCTGGGAGGATGCTGCCAACCGCAGGGCTCTTTTGGAGTGTCAGCCCAGCGCCATGTGGTTGGAATCCCCATCACTCTTGGTTAGTCTGGATGCCAGGCAGGCGTATGCATGATCTGATAATGTGGAAATGACGGATATTTCATAAAATGTCCACATCTCAAAATCAACTTGCGTACAGCAAAAATAGTAGGTTATCGGAGACGGCGGCACCCAGCTAAAAGCTCTGATTTACTAAATCTATTATGACATGTTTATGATGGGATGTAATCTTAGTTAAACCGGGGTAGGGGTGAGTTTGGTTAACTGGAGCCAGGATGTTGGGAGGAAGCTGCCTAAATAAATGATTCAGCCCTTGTTAATAAGAAAAACAGACATGCCTACTCCACTAATGCCACATGTTGCATTTACACAGACTTTAGGCTTATCTTTCAATATTAAAACCTTGGCAATAAAAATAAGATTTGTCCTTACTGCGTGTGGCCTCACCTACCAGTGCCCTCTGTCTTCCTTTTAGGGAAATAATGACAGCTTCTATCTGAAGACTCTTTCAAGTGGTCATTATTCAAGCCCTTCAGTTAGGATTCCCTCATCCAGACTACAAAAGACAGGACCACATCGGGATCAGACTCCTGTCGTGCGCCAGAATGAAAAACGCGGCGTTCCAACCAGGAAAATTAAAATTAAAGTCTAGCTTTACCACCGTCCTCACACCACTAAATGCACGTTTCTAAAAAGCCCAAATCTTTGGGAGAAACCGTTTATTTAATTTGGAAACGACAGCTGCCCTACTTTTAAAAACAATAGATGGCAAACTTTAAAATTGTCTTCAGGGCTAAGCAGTGATAAAGATATCACTGACCAATGTTTGAATGAATTTGGCATGTCACATATTTTCTTACTAAACCAATTCTCTGTGGCTAAATGAACACCCCGTGAGTTCTGGTGAGTGTGAGGAGAAAGTCCACATGCTCTTTGTATAAACCTCACTGATTTGACCCTAATTACAGCAAAGGAAGAGCGTGGTGAAGTTAGTTTTAGGTTGGAAATTCTACAGAGTCTTCTTACTCAGTTTCACAGACTGTCAGCAGTCATTGGCTGGTTAGCTCACATCCGAGCACTCACTCTGGACCACAGGGCTTCACTTCGGGACCATCAATAAATTACTGTTTGAATGCCACAAAACCCACGTTATTTTCAAAACCTCCATGCTAAGCTGCTATGTATGTGGAATTATGCTAAAAGAATTACAATAAACTTTCTAAATGTTCAATACAATATCAATATAAAATAAAAGGTGGCCTAAAATATAGCCCAGGTTAGTCATGAAATGCCTCATTGATTTGGGTTCACTGTCACATGACATAGAGGCTATTGAAAAGATCAAGAACTAAAATAAAAACAGCAGAATCTTCGTAAAATATTTAAAAAGAAAACAATAAAATCCTTTATATTGGAGGCGCTTTCAGTTTGGACCAAAGAGGCAAAACTACCAATATTGCCATCCCTGTTGCCACAGCAAATAATACTTTGTTATAAAAGTTTCATAACGACAAGCGGCCGAGATGGGTTTTCTCCGCAGGGTGGCTGGCGTCTGGGAGGGACTCAGAGTTGAACCGCTCCTCCTTCGTGTCGAAAGGAGCCAGTTGAGGTGGTTCGGTCACCTAGTAAGGATGCCACCTGGGCGCCTCCCTAGGGAGGTGTTCCAGGCACGTCCAGCTGGGAAGAGACCGAGGGGTAGACCTAGGACCAGGCGGAGGGATTATATCTCTTCGCTGGCCTGGGAGCGCCTTGGGATCCCCCAGTCAGAGCTGGTTGATGTCGCCAGGGAAAGGAACGTTTGGGGCTCTCTGCTGGAACTGCTACCCCCGCGACCCGACCACGGATAAGCGGGTGAAGATGGATGGATGGATATAAAAGTTTCATGCAAGGTTGATCTGCAGCACATATTGGTTCCAATGCTTGAAATGAAATGCCAAGATAAAACAGATGTGATATTATTGGCAACCCTATAATACTGCTATGTTCGTGTACTTGCTTTGACAACTGACAATTGGAAGTTGTATGAGCTCATAAGCGTTAACCTGATACAGGGTTCATTTTCTTTTTTCACTGAAGACTTGTAGCTTATAAGTTATTATTTGCAGTACTTTTTTCACAGTGTTCCTAAATATAAAAAGGATTAATCAGTAATAATAAATTAATGAAACACATTTAGATAAAGGCATTGGCACATTGTAGTAATGATTCACTTCTTGGAGCATACTAGGGAATAATGTTTCTTGGCCTTTACAGACTTCAGTGATTGTCCCAATAAATTGCAGTTTCTTGAGCTTCCTCTTGTTGAATGTGCGATACCTTTGACTCTGGATGAGGTTACACAGAGTGACTTCCAGCAGAGACCAAGGTTAAGCATATCTGAACATCAGCAAAACGCTGGTAATTGGCTCTCCTCAGAGTTGCCACTTGATATGATGTTTAAGGCAATGATCCCATTACCTTCTATCTGTTTCACAAGACTGCTGGGAGGCCACAAAGATCTAGACTTTGTTTTCTTCCAGATTGAAAAACTTGTCAAACATAATGACCTTTTTGAGACAAAACTACGCCATTCTAGTGATGAAATATTAAGTGTAAGCTTTAGACTTTGAGTTTGCATTAGTGCCACGAGTTGATGTAAAAGGCATCATTGTTGCTATTACGCTGACTGCCAAGTGTGCCATGAATGTTAAGAAAAATAGGAAAAGGTCATTCATTCGTGATATGACAACGCCCGAAGAGCTGTCCTTGTTTCACCTCAGGATCTGACTTACTTGCCCACAATAAGAAAACAGGAATGATTTGCCAATTGCTGTGAGCAAAGCCATCATTGGAAGACTGTTTAGATCAGATAAGTTTAATCAAGCATGCATTTGATTAAGTTGTTATTCACATCTTGTGATACATTCTTTGATTGGATTCTCTGCAGGAATACATTAACAACGACAACCACTAAATAGAATGATCTTATTAAGTGGTTGTTTGACACATCTGCAACGTTTGATTATTGATTGATGATCTGCTGATTTCCAAAAGAATAAGGTTGAAGGGAAATGTTTTCTCTGCTCAACTATAAAATGATCATCTAACATGTGCTTGTATCTGTGGTGCGATTTGATAATTATAACAGCTGGATACTTTCAGGCAGATGTATTCTCAGATACATCAGGAAAACAAGACAAGTAATGAAAACCAGCAATTAGGTAACTCTTATATAAGTGTTCTTCTGCAATGTGTCTGTGATGTTGTGAGGTACGCGTGTGACGCATTCACATCACATTTGTTTGTTTCTGATCATCCAAGGCGTTATTCAATTCAGTAGTGTGTGTGGGAGGGGGGGTGGACACTGTAGGACACTGTACATCGCTGTCTCACGGAGAGATACCGTGGGTCCTTCCTTCCTGCAGCGGTTAGACTATACAACCAACACAGCCCCTAGTAGACCCCCCCTCACACACACACACACACACACACACACACACACACACACACACACACACACACACACACACACACACACACACACAACAACACAGACTATAACACCCCTTGCCCATTGCACACACACCAACCAACTATGTGCAATATGTGCTATATGTGCAATATATATGTATGCCGTTAATAACTGTGCAATAGAGGGACGTGCACAGACATTTTGGGGGGCGGGAGCTCAAGTGAGAAAAAGGGCACTTCCCATAATCATTTATAAAAAAAAATGTAAAACTAAAAGTTAAATATACACATCCCTGACTAACTGACCAATTTATTTGAATACCCTCACACTCACACAATTGTTCAATACTCAACAGAATTCTACAAAATAATCAGTTAACACAGAGACAATGGCCTTCTTTAGTATTCACTATGCACAAAAGCAAATAACAAACTAGTCAAATTAATAGTTATTAAATGAGCAGCCACCAATCAAAATTAAGAAGTTACTGTTTAAGGCAGGACATTACAGGCAAAAATATCGTTTTTTCATATAGGCCTATACATTTTGTTATTTTGGTCTATTTTGCTTCCATGTTTTCTTTCACTCTAATGGAAAGAAAACTTCCAAAAAACATATATAAATGGTGTTCGTTTTACTACCATGTCTGAATTCATCTAAGCTAATCTGCATTTAACACTAGTGGAGCCTCGCAGCGCCGGAACCGTGCCGCGCAACACTAATTGCGCCGCATAAACACATAGGTGTGCCGCATTTGCGTCTCAGGTGAGGCCCCCTCCGCAAGGTGAGGCCCCA